AATAAAATTGTAAATTAAATTAAATGTAAAATAGAATATTGAAAATTTTCAGGGGTCTCTCAGGGGACCCAGCCTGGGCCTGAGACTTCTGAGGTGAATCAGATATGGAGCAGGCTCCCAAAGAGTTCTCCATGCAGAGGGACCAGCTAAGCAGACAATTAAAACACACAAGATGAGCCTAGTCAGAGCCCAGAGGCGAGCTGTTACTTTCTCCTACAGGAATAAGCATTTGAAATCAGTTCCTGATGGATGAGTTTCAGCTGAATAGTTCGTAACCTACAGAAATCCTTAAATCATTGTCTTACTCTTCTTCCCAACCATCAACCTGAAGCTCCTCAGGGCTGGGAGCTGTTTCCTCTTTTAAGTGGGAGACCCTAAGGGTGGGGGCCTATATCCTTCTTCACCTGGGATGGTCCACCTTGCAAACTGCCTTTATGTTTGCATGTGCTGGAATGACAAGGAAACCAGGTATAAGTAAGCTTCCCTTAATCAGGGTCTTAGAGTGACAACCACTTTAGCATAGCAGAGGTGGACTGAGATTTGAATTATCAATTATAAACACCCAAAACCCAAACCCACTGCTGTCAAGTCAATTCCGACTCATAGTGACCCTGTAGGACAGAGTAGAACTGCCCCCATAGCGTTTCCAAGGCTGTAAATCTTTACAGAAGCAGACTGTCATATCTTTCTCCCGTGGAGCGGCTGGCGAGTTTGAACTGCTGACCTTTTGGTTAGCAGCCAAGCACTTTAACCACTGTGCCACCAGGGCTCCTTTTATAAACACCAAACCAAAACAGACCAAACCTACTGCCCTCTAGTTGATTCCAACTCATAGCAACCCCACAGGGTATCCAAGGCTGTAAATTTCAGAGGCCAACTGCCTTATCTTTTTCCCTTGGAGCCACTGGTGGTTTCAAACCACAGACCTTTTGGTTAGCAGTCGAGTGCTTTAACCACTGCGCAACCAGGGCTCCTTTTTATAAATACAGTATGTGCAAATTATAATGAGCAGGCAAGAATTTGGGGTTAGACTCTACTCCCACTGATACTGTGATTTCAGGTGTGTAATTGAACATGTCTGCACCTCAGTTTCCTCATCTATAAAATTGTGATCACTGAAGTACCTACTTCATAGTCTTGTTTGGACCAACAGTGATTTGAAAATGATTTCTGCAGTATAATTAACTAAGGCCTATACTTCTGCTCCACTTCACATCTATCAGTTTGTTGTACTGTGATGGCTCGGGTGTTGCTGTGATACTGGAAACTTTGCCACCAGCATTTCAAGTACCAACGGGGTCACATTTGGTGGACAGGTTTCAGTGGAGCTTCCAGACTAAGACTAGGAAGAAAGACCGGGCAGCCTACTTCTGAAAAAAATGGCCACTGAAAACCTTATGAATAGCAGCAGAACATTGTCTGATACAGTGCCAGAAGATGAGCCCTCAGGTTGGAAGTCACTCAAAATACAACTGGGAAAGAGCTGGCTCCTCAAAGTAGAGATGACCTTAATGGAGCCAAGCTTTCAAGACCTTCATTTGCTGATGTGGCATGACTCAAAATGAGAAGAAACAGCTGCAAACATCATTAATAATCGAAACGTGAAATGTTCAAAGTATGAATCTAGGAAAATTGGAAATCATCAAAAATGAAATGGATCGATATCCTAGGCATTAGTGAGCTGAAATGGACTGCTATTGGCCATTTTGAATCAGATAATCGTATAGTCTACCATGCTGGGAATGACAAATTGAAGAGAAATGGCATCAAAAAGAACATTTCAAGATCCATCCTGAAGTACAACACTGTCAGTGACAGGATAGTATCCATACAGCTACAAGGAAGCCCAGTTAATACAACTATTATTCAAATTTATGCAACAACCACTAATGCCAAAGATTAGGAAATGGAAGATTTTTTACCAACTTCTGCAGTCTGAAATTGATTAAACATGTAATCAAGATGCCTTGATAATTACTGGTAATTGGAATGCGGAAGTTGGAAATGAAGAAGAAGGATTGGTAGTTGGAAAATATGGCCTTGGTGATAGAAATGACGCCAGAGAGTGCACGATAGAATTTTGCAAGACCAGTGACTTCTTCATTGCAAATACCTTTTTTTGACAACATAAACGGTGACTATACACATGACCTCACCAGATGGAAAGGTAGTTATTCCAGCAGAGCAAGGGGATACTGCATGGTTTAAAACCAAGAAAGGTGTGCATCAGGGTTGCATCCTTTCACCATACTCATTCAATCTGCATGCTGAGCAAATAATCCAAGAAGCTGGACTATATGAAGAAGAATGTGGCATCAGGATTGGTGGAAGACTCATTAACAACCTGCATTTTGCAGAAAGCGAAGAGGACTTGAAGCACTTACCAATGAAGACCAAAGACTACAGCCTTCAGTATGGATTACACCTCAACATAAAGAAAACAAAAATCCTCACAACTGGACCAATAAGCAACATCATGATAAA